CGCAAATGAGTCATGAACGTATCTGTGGTATTTAATGCGCGAGGTCAGGTAAGGATATATTCTGGTATGTGGCAGCATGATACACCATAGCAATGGGTCCACATGTGACTCGAGGTGCTGGGTCACGCGACCGACTCGATGTATCGGCACTTTCCGTTCCGTCACTGGCCCATCGTGGCGACACGTAACGAATCACGGAGTTACCACGAAGGGCGACGGGGCCGGAAGGTGTATGCGAGATGGCGTCACCGATCACGTCACGACACTGGTAGCATCACTGATCACGTCACGATGCTGGTGGCGTCACCGATCACGTCACGACACTGGTGGCGTCACTGATCACGTCACGATGCTGGTGGCGTCACCGATCACGTCACGACACTGGTGGCATCACTGATCACGTCACGATGCTGGTGGCGTCACCGATCACGTTACGGCACTGGTGGCGTCACTGAAGAAAATAGATCAGAAGTGCGGCGTAGCTGAGGCAAGCTGTAAGCTGCGCATTAACAACCCGCGTCGATGACATTCACGTCCTGGATTGCTCACTGCTTTTGACATCTGCCGTGGCCGTCAAGGGCGTTAGTTCGCCACTGCTGCGCTGTCGGCTTTCCTCGCCATTCGTGTTTGTCTCCCCGTCTCTGCTGCCCAGCGCTTGGCTCCGGGCGGCCGCACCGGTACACGCCCTCCTTTCGCTGGCTGTTGACTGGATGGTGAGGGGCGTGACACTGGCGTCGCAGAGCCGCGGGTACAGCTGGGAGGTCGCGATCGCCCGACCGGCCGCGGGGGCGAAGGTCGGGCTTGCCACGACGACCAGCCTGCGTGAGGCCGTGTTCGCTCTGAGGCCCTCGCGGTCAGAGATCGCGTTCACGCTTTTGGACGAGAAGAGGGCGACTGTGTCTGCCTAGGACGGCCTCAGCGGCCAAACCGCGGCTGGCCTGCGCCTCATGGCTGAGCTGGGGACTCTGGCCGCGCGGCGAGCGGCCAGAGGCGTCGCGCCGGGCACCGCAGCGGGCGACCCGGTCTCGACTCACGTCATGACGGCGGCGCCCGTGTAGTTCTTGCTCTCCTGCTCGCGCAGCTGCGCGAAGAAACTAAGCACGACGGCGTAGCAATAGCCGCTGCTGGCGGCGACGGCCAGCTGCAGGCCGATGACGCCCCAGGTCTCAGCGGCGCACTCGAGGCTGGCCACCGCGGCGAGCAGCGCAGCCAGCGCCAGCAGCAGCTGTGCGGCCAGCAGCGGGCCGTGCCAGCCGAGCCAGGGCAGCAGCCAGCGGCGGCGCCTTCGGCCGGCCGCCACCAGCAGCGCCAGGCTGGCCGGCAGGCTGGTGAGCAGCAGGCCCAGCAGCAACGCCGCGCTCAGCCGCACCAGCCGCATCAGCGTCTCCAGGTCGGGCGGCGGCCCCGGCTGCCCGGCGACCGGCAGCGGGCTGATCTCTGGCTCGCTGGCCAGCAGTCGGCGCACCAGCTGCCGGTCGGCCAGCAGCAGGGACAGCCACAGCGACAGCAGCGCGTCCAGCAGGCAGTGCAGCAGGCCGATGACCGCCACGCCGTCGCGCAGCTCGCAGCAGCAGCAGCACGTCTTGAGCCAGCGCATGCGCATGGCGCCGGCGGGACGCGCCGCGGGCGGCCTCGCCAACCGGCCTCCTATGGTGGGACAGAGGGCTGTTAAGGCCCCGACCTGGGCGCCGATACTCACGCTGGAATGGACATAGAAACAAGGGTAAAGCTAGCTGCGGTTTGCCACCTTTTACTGCTGCAATTGAAAATGCATAATATGCATACTGATATTGATGTTAATGTTTTGATGATGCATGTCGTACATAAATGAACGCATACAGTACACGTACCCGGCATTGGATACATATTTACGATAATGGTGTATCAGTGGCCCTGTTGACGCGCCTTGACGTGCTCCCCTTTCGCCCCGATTGGAGATGGGCCACCACATCGGCGGTAACGTAGTCCAACCGGAGGGCAGACAAGGGCGTGCGGTGGGTGGTTCTCACCTGCGTTACCCCGCCGCTCTGCTCCGCCCGTCCCCTGCACCGTCTGCGGCCCGGCCGCCACTGCGCGCCGCCGATCGATGCGCGAACGGAGCGGACCCGATCGATCGTGGCGCCATCTCGGGCCGAGACGGGGGAGGGACGGGCGCCGCCCGGGGGAACTGAGACGCACCTGAGTTCCAGGCTCGGCCGGCGTCGTGAACTGTAATAATCTGCCTTGCATGCCGCAACACGGCGCCCATTTATACGACGTCAAGGAGCCTGCTCAAAGGGATGTCTTGGAATATAAGCTATTTTGAAGAGGTGATTTTGCGGTGCACACGACATATATACCGACACTCGATCGTGGGGAGCCCATGATCGTTGATACCGGCGAGTCTTGTGTGGCCCGCGTGATCTCACGGGCTACACAAGGCTTGAGATCAGAACTAGGCCTCGTGACATGCAGGCGTGCTCTGGCCCCGTGAGAGCGGCCCCAGACTGCACCCACCGCCCTGTGAGAGCGGCCCCAGACTGCACCCACCGCCCTGTGAGAGCGGCCCCAGACCTGCACCCACCGGCCGGCCGGCGCGGCGGCCGCGTGGGACAGCTCCTGCCGGGCTAGGCGCCGGCTGGCAGCAGATCCGTACCGCTCGCCTTGCCGCTCGGGGTAGGGTGTGTGGCGAAGGCAGCAGCTCTGGACCGCGGACGTTCGGCCGAGTCTGAGCGCCAGACAGAGGAGCACTGGACAGGAAACGGACCGGCGGGCCGGTGTCATGCCACGTGCTCGTCCAGGAGGAGCCGACACGTCTTCGTGCGGGCGTACGGACTGTTGAGCGATCCCAAGAGTCCACGCAGCAACATTGTTAATTGACAATTGGCTGGCATGAGCGACCTTGGGCATGTGCAGAGGGCGTGATGTGTTTCTTCGCTGATGGCCATTGGGCTTCGCTTCCAAACGTAATGACCACACGATCATGGACAATGTTGTCATTGCGTTGCCATCGCAACAATTACATCAGCCCAATCTATAGCGTGAGGGTCTGGAGGAGAGCTATTTGTAGAAGACCCGCTGAGTGGAGGACGCTTCGTCGGAAGGCCTGCACTCGGAAGAATCACGCTTGCTACTACTGGCCTACAGAGATGACGGTCTGGAGAACTAATTTGACCATGCGTGAGGTACAAGGTTTTCTCGCCTGTCTCATTTCCGAGCTCTATGACAAAAGGAGTTCTGTGAGCCCGAGCGGTTTTTGCCGCCTTCTCATTCTGCAAATGGACGGGTTATTTGGGTTTGGGTCAAAGAAGTGAGCCCTCAGGTCATGGAAACATTACCAGTGCTGGAGTTCATAGAAGCGTTCATCATATATGGTTCTAGTACCGATAGCTGTCATACTTAACAGGGTGGGGTGACGGGGAAAGGGCTGACGGGATACTCACCGTCCGAGCACTCCAACCGCCCTTGTTTTCCTTGCGGGTCAATATTGGTCTCCGTTGTCAAGTTGGGTCGGTAGGTCATGCTTTGCATTACTTTACAGTGCAGAGATTTGTCCTACGTTCTTCGGATAACCGTAGTTGGAGTTGTCTGACACCATTTCATTTCAGTATAACTTTGATTGCATGCATTTGATCGCTCAAGGGTCATGGTCCGATCCGCTCGGGAGGGCAAATGTTTCCTCCGTCTTATGATTACCACCCACATAACAACAATGTGCTGAAGCGCATTCCGCGCAAGGTGAAATTTTTCAGATGACATATTTGAAGCCATGTGAAAGGCCAGTGACGGGTCAAACAAGGCCACAGGGGGGGGGGGGGGGGGGAAGCATGCGATGTATTGCAATGATTACCATGATACAGATCTTGTGCAATGAAGAGCAAGGCTGAAGACGCTCACTCAAGCCATATTAGGCACATACTGCAATGACAATAAGTTTTCTGGCGGCGGGAGGACAGCTCAGATGCTACATAAGTCAAGATCACGACCGTGCTTGACCTTTGGAAGATCAGCGTTGTCTGCATGCGGGTAGCCATTAGCAAAGCTAGTGGAAAAAATTATTGTCAGTGAAGCACCTCTGCACCAACCACGGCGGGACCTATTAGGGCTACTTAGCCGTTTTAACTTTCGGACGCAGTGTGACTTTGACCCAAGAACTTCACTATTATTGGTTCCATGATGCTCGTCAAAATCATGGTGATAGGGTGGATCGGAGTAAATCGTTATTGCAAGTGCAGATGCCACAAAGTCCGTATAGAAGAACAGTTGGACATGTTTGGCCTGGCTTCGCCGCCGTGGCCTGGCTTCGCCCTCACCCTTAAACACAATCAGGCCTGACGTTATTGACATAGAAATCGAATGTATTTATCAGAAAAACAGGTAGCATATCCCAATGGCCGACTACTGAACTGTTTTGTCCATTTAGCGAGACAACTGGCTGCAACGACCTCCACAAATGGGTTACGAGTCACGACCTATGTGGTAAAAGTGATGGAGAATCTCCAGGACGTATGACAATGTCAATATGTCAGCTGCCGAAAAATCAGCTCGATATGTTAAACGGTTACTGAGTTATTCAAGAAAAGCCCTAGGGGCGGGAAGGGGGGGAAGCTATCAGGCGAGATAAGGGTTGCGATACGGGGCCTTTACCTGCTTAGAGGGTCCCGAGATTTGCCCCCCACCCCCACCCCAATGCAGCGTTGTTGGGATGGGACAAATGAAAATAAGCTCAGAGCAATAAAACCCAAGCTGGGCCAGTGGTTATCATGTTCCCGCAACGTCAGGCAAGAAGAGGTGGTGCTCTGCAGACTACGCATTGGGCATACGTTTTTAACTCACGGTTATTTGTTGCACGGAGCCGAAAGGCCTATCTGTCGTCGATGTGGTGCTGTTCTCATTGTTCGTCATGTGCTTGTATCATGTCCGCGCCTCATGGAAGAACGTCGACGATACTTTGGACAGCGTGACTCGTCCTTGACGCTCTGTGACATTTTAGGATACAACTCGCGCCTTCTTGAATCTAAACAGGTATTTTTATTCCTTAAACATATCAACTTCGGGACTCTTTACACGGTCTATCAGTTAGGTAAAGCAAAAATCGTGATGGGCGCCAAATGACCACCGCAGTCGGCGCGCCCGAAAACACCAATCAACAACACCCCCACCCCCTCCACCCGTGGGAGAAGTGGGTGACGCCGTTCCTATCCATGGCGTGAGGACAAACCCGGAGCTCGCCAAAAGAAAAACAACAGTAGGTCTTCGTAGAGGAGCTCTCCCTAGCCTGAAGCCTCCCGAGGTCCCGAGCGTATGCATTCCATGCAGTAGGTGATCCCATAGGAGGCCAGCTGGGCTGATCCCAACGCCACGTGGATGGACCGTGTGCACCTCTTTTCGTGCGCGAACCTATGTCTGTTTGTTTCTTCGTGAAATTTGGTGTTGGTCCTTGCCAGAAAGTTGAGTCTTATTTCAAATAGCAACGTAACATTTAATCAGGTTATTCAAAAACATAAGGAATGCTTCGAGTCCCCGCAAAAATGGAGTGCTATGGTAATCTTCGCACGTTTCGCTTTGAACAGCAATCGACAATCTGTTGTGCGCATTGTCAGGGTCGGAGCCGGTCGCGCGATGGTGGCGTCGGCGAGACCAACACGTCACCAACGCCGAGCGCCGGCCGGGGCGGCGGGTCCGGGCCGACCTTTCCGGCGCGCCAGGTCGTCGGCCCGGCGGCCCTGGCGACTCTTGGCTGGGCCCCAGCGGCGGTGCCGGATCGCCGACAGCGACCGGCGCGGTGAGCGATGAGCGTTGCCGAAGGCGCTTCCACTGCCGACGTCAGGTATCCTGTGATGGACGTGGCCGTTGCGGACTCGGAAGTCACCCTTCCGGTGATGGACGTGGCCGTTGCGGGCTCGGAAGCCCCCCTCCGGCCGCTGTCCGACGTCAGGTGTCCTGTGATGGACGTGGCCGTTGCGGGCTCGGAAGCCCCCCTCCGGCCGCTTTCCGACGTCAGGTATCCTGTGATGGACATGGCCGTTGCGGGCTCGGAAGTCACCCCTCCGGCCGCTGTCCGACGTCAGGTGTCCTGTGATGGACGTGGCCGTTGTGGGCTCGGAAGCCACCCCTCCGATGATGGACGTGGCCGTTGCGGGCTCGGAAGCCCCCTTCCGGCCGCTGCCCGACGTTGTGCTGTTTGTGCGCTGGTAAGCTCGTCGGACGGTACATTTGGAGCTAGTTGAACGCGTGTGCGCTTGTTACCCGCCATTTTCTGTTGTACTGGTATCATTAGTGTTTGAGCAGGAACTGTAGCTACCGCATGTGACATTGTTAGTGCTGCGGGCCTGACTGAGAAAGGTGCAAAAATTGATGACGCTACTGTGCAAATTACTGCAGCGGTGGCAAAATGCACAGAGAGCTCACTGTGCGGTGCGTTGTGCAGCTTCGCGGGCGTTTCCACGTCTGTGTTTCGCGTGTACTGCAGGTTTGTTCTGGGTTATGCCGCCGGTGTCATTTACGCCAAAATTCTGCCTTTTACCTGTGAAACATCTACTTCCATCGTTTTGCCGGCCATTTCATGTTGGGGCTGCCACATGTGACGCCCTTGTCCTAATGCAGGCAAGATGGTTATATAAACGCAGGGTGTCCTTTGGGCTTGCTATGAAAATGAGATCCAAAATATGTAAATACCATTGTATGTTACAGGTTGCCGGAGGGCATAGCTGACAAATAGCGTACATGTTTGAAAACGGTGGGCTCGGAACGTGTTTTAGCCTTCGCCTTGGCCGCTTTGTTTTGGCTTCACATCTGTCATCGTATTTCTGTGCATACGTTCATGGCTTCCCACCCAAGTGGTTCCTGGTAATAAATCGTTGAAGCTCACTCTTACGTGAATGGATGAGATGCGGCCGCGCTGGTGGCGGCGCGCCGGGCAGGCCGTCGCCGGCGCGCTTCGCGACTCCGTCTGCGCACACCGCGCTGTTACTCGGTTGCCATGGCGCTGGCCGGCTCAAGTCGGACCTCCCAGTCCGCCCTGGTCGCCAGTCGATAGACGTGCGCCGTGTCTCCTCCGCGGCAGCTCAAGCCGAACTGGGGCACGCGCCCGGAAGATGTCGTCAGGAATTCGACAGCTTTGGAAATCGCTCGCTATGTAGTTTTGATAAATCAAACAGTGCATTTGCCGTCGGTACCAGCCGGTGTAAATCAAAATTGTCCGTGCCCACAAGCGTAGTTTTGATTAAGGCCTTGCGCGATGAAAATTCCGTGTAAAAGTGGCTTCTAGCTCACCGTAAAGATCAACTTCGCTCCAACAAGCAGGCGTCGGATTGCAACCATGTAGACCATGGCTCTTCTCACGATATTAAAGTACTGTGCGCACAGCGGTAATGGCCTCCAGTGAGTCTCAACTTCGTCTGACTGCATCAGAGCCAGCCAAGTGGATTGTGGTGTACAAGAATGGCGACCAGCACTACCCGGGACGGCGGATGGTCGTCAAACCCCGGGAGATCAAAACATTCGACGTAAGTGGTTTGGCGGTGAAAATATATCCGCAAAGGTTTTTTAGACGACAGCATCGAAGGCTTTTTCGTCGATATCCCTCTTTTTACTAGAAAAGAGCAGGCATAGTCTTAGACATATTGCTCTTTCACGGAGCAGCTCGAAATAATAAATCAATCATAAATCAAATCATAAGACAGATAGGTTGTCTAAATTGAGCTGCGAGATCCCCGGCTGTGGGCTGTCAGCCTTTCGCCAGACAGAACAACAGCACTGGCGACGAGCGATTGGATTCCGCCAGACAGTTTGTTATGCACGGAATACGCTAATACATAGGCATTGGCTCAACCGAGCTGGGTAAATTCGAATGGGAAGACGCGTAACTTGAGGTAAATTCTTATGACTTGATCTTGGAAGCCAGGTGTGTGATCGGAATTATGGATTGTTTTCTACTTGGATGCTCCTCAGATGTATTTGAAGTGTGCCTTTTAAGATGTCAGGAAACTGCTTGTATTTACGGTCTCTTGCATATGTGTGCAAAGGTCATAAATTATTCAATGCAACGAGCGTTCAGCCAGACCTCCAGGACCAGCCGTTGAGATTTGGCCGGATAACGATGGCCCAGCCTTTGTATGTCAACAAATTTTATGATGCGTCAAAAATGTGTTTGCCTGACATCAATGGTTGACAAGAAGTGAAGTAGCAATGTCATTATTAATCAAATGTCATTATTGCCAAACTCTCAGGTTCGGCCAAACCTAAAGCGTCGCCCACGGTGTGATGCTCCTCCAATTAATCACTGATGCTTATCTATTTAATTCTGCAAGGATCAGGTCAGATACTCTGTTGGCAGTTAAGACGCTTAGCAGATCGGTTCGTGTACGGGCGTGGGCTTCACTTGCGCTCTTCAGCCCCGTCGATGACAGCCGAAAACGGCATCAGCCCGATCTTCGGTCGCATTTACGTGCCATGGCGATCTTGACATGGTTAACTTTTACGCAGCAGTAAGTTTTTAACCTCAGTATGCCTGTGCATTATCTCGCCCCATGTCCTACCTATGGTCCATATCCCTGTTCTCACGTTTGGGTGGGCGGGCGTCGCAGCACTTGCTGGAGGAGGTGACCGTGAAGCTCAGCCCCAGCTTCGGGGCCGTGCGTAACATCTTCACGCCGGAGGGAGGCACACGAGTGTCCAGCCTGACCGACCTCAAGGCCAACGGACGTTACGTGGCCTCCCCCAACGAGCCGTTCCGGCAGCTCTCCAAGACCAGGTGAGCTTAGCCGAGAGTTCTACCCACGGCGCTGTGGTCGCGCCGAGCTGGCGAAGTCGTGGGATGGGCGGGGAGGCATAATGGCAGAGTGGTTTCCATGTGCGGTCTTGATTCGAATCCCGGTTGATCCACGGCCCCCGTGCGCTAATATGGACTGTAAGCGCTGGCGTCCATAAAGGTGTGCGTGACGGCGTGCGCCGTGTCCTCCGTAAAAGTGCTCTCGAGTCGGAGTGCTACCAATCTCGTGGTCAATATTCCGCCTCGTAACAGGGCTTTTAAGGTGTTATATTGCTACGTTGTACCGAACTTTGGATTTGTGTGTGGAATGGCCTATGGCCTCAGCCTTCGTGTCAAAAAGCCTGGCATGCTCTCCATACCAAATATTACATTTACGATATCCGAATGCTGCGTGACACTCAGTCCATGGGGTCACGAACGATTGGTAGTTTGTTTTGCGGTCACAACCACAGCTCTGTAGTCACTAATAGTATAAGCCGCCCCATCAACACGTTCCCGTCTGGCAAGCCCAACGTAAAACATGCTGCATGTCTGAGCTATCTGCCACCCCTTTGCTGCCGCTCCATTCGTAGTTGTTTAGCGCCAGGCCCTCAGATTTCCCAGCATAACAAGGCCTGCGTTGAGTTTTGTTCGTCCATCACGGTGTGTTTTTCCCGGGTTCACTGCGGTTGAAGTAATTAGCACAACAGACCGCGCGGCTATTGAGCGAGCCACACGCACGCCGGCCCGCTTGGAGGTGACACTTGGGGCCACCATAGGTCAGCCGACGCGGACGCCTGTACAACTAGTCCGTGCACGCGCTGATAAAAGCATTAACATTTCTGGACTCGGCTTGTTACAGCACCACTGTCAGCATGACCCAGCGCCATGAAAGCGAAACTTGGCTTTATGAATCCTGCCCGGAAACTCAAAATCACGCGCGATGATTTGTAGCATACAGGCGTAGCTGGCTTATATGTGGGGTGGGTGGATTATTACTGATCGCGAACCGCTGCAACCAGGCACGCCACTTTGTCTACTTTCGTGGGCACCAACACCCCACCTTTCAATATTGACTTGAGCCCCCCCCCCCCTCCAATACTATCATGGGCCCCCCCTTCCTCTAATTAATATGGACTAAAGGGAATGCTCGGTCAAGGAAAGGCAAAAAATGACCGAAATAATTTTTACAATAGGCGTATATCTGGTGACATTACTTTTGGTCCATGTTTATTCTGTGCCACATGGCATTCTGTAGGTACCTTATATGTTTTTGTCATTCCATCCCCTTGATATACGAATCCAGTGTCCGCCAATGTTGGGAGGTCTTTCACCAAGCAGAACTTGAATCGGACCCAGAAACGGATTTGATTGTGCGCCAGCTTTTGAGTATAAAGTGGATGGTTTCAAGGCAGGGTGGTTTTATAAGGTTCGGCAATTATTAGCCATGAACGTCACACTTCAAGAACATTGCGAATGAATATAATATCAGGAACGTTGCACGAATATCACGGACATTCCAGTTATCAAGGCTCTCGCCTGAGCTTGGGCATTGGCACAATGAACATTGTCCGAGCCTCGCGAGCATCCTGGGACTTTGGGTTCGTACGTCCTCTCGCCCAATAAGCGTTACTGTGTGAAGGGCTGTCCGAAACACAGGCGGCTGAACCAAAGGTTTTCAGTGACTTGTACCGAGCAAAAGCACAGAAAGAAGCCCGTGGTCGGATGCCGGGGTTTACCACAGGACCAGAAAACTTGTTTTTGAAATGCATATAACTAAACAACATTTCTCAAAAACCATGTTGAGCTGCCCAAAAGCCTGGAGTAAAGGCGTCAAGAGTCACAAGACGGCGTTTGCATGTTCCGCCTCGGGCACAGTTACGACTGTGCGCAACTTTTGTATCTTGGGATCCGCGTGGTCTTTTCCTGTTGCTAAAATGTCTACTTTAAAGCTGGCACGTGTTGCCCTATGCTCGGTTGCCGCGTGTTAGGCTGCTGTGTGTTCACCTAGCGGTGTGTATGCTTTGCGTAAGCGTGCGTTTTCATGGTGCTCATATAACCGGTCAGGGACGCTACGTTTCGTATTGCCTTCATACAACATCCCTGCATAGAGATTACGAGAGGCATTATATGCGCCGTTCTTCTGCGCGCAATCGGGTCTTTCGCTCCATTGATGCATGTGTGACGAACCCTGAGATATGCTGGACTTGCTGGGGTCCCGAGGGCTACCAGTCCACTACCGGTCCATGCTGCTGATGCCGTCCAAATCATTCCATGGTACAGGGACAGTCACCTGCTTGTATTGCTTGTCATCTAAAAAACAGGGTTGAATTGAAACATGATAACCATTGTTTTTTCATAACGTCGTGAAATCAGTACCTCCTCGCATACTGACGGTCGAGTTTTTCCTGCGACTTTCCTACTCATAATGCCGAAACACTAGGAGCGCATCGCCTTTCTTGCTCACATCAACCTCAAATCATGCCAAAGCGCTGGTCGCCCCATTTATTAAGACGGCCATTCTGGTGACACGGCCGACCAACAGATTTTACCTTTTCTGTTCTTACACGGGTAGTGTATCATGTGCACACTGTTCTGTTCTGTAGTCTGCATGTGTCAGACTGCGCCATTTTGCATAGCATTGTCTTTACGTCTCGGTCCACTGTCCATGAACGACAAGTGAGACCAGTTTCCAGCGATAGTACCGGGCTGTCTTGCTGAGATGTTTTTGTGCATTACACCCAACTGTAAGCATCTAATAAAGCTGCAGTTTCGCATGGACTTAAACGGGATGTCATTCTCCGCACAAGAATGTTGTATAGACTGGTTACAAAATATATCCTTGATATTGGGAATGCAATATCAAGTGACCGAAATCCGGTGATAAATCAGATTTTGGAGATAGGTCAGGCAACCCGAACGGCTGAGCCTTCGACCTATTTTGGGAAGTGATGCCTCTCGCTGCGACCTATCTGCTTTGTTTTCTCCTGCTGCCCGCGTTACTTGCCTTACCTCCTGCGTTGTTCAGTGTATTGACGCATTGTGTGCAACGCGTGCTGGTCCGGGAACGTACGTTCAATTCACAGGGCAGGAACACGACAGGCTGCAGGTCAATAGCGGGACTGTTGACTGTCAGGGGCGGGCGATGAAGCGGGAGCCGATCTCTGTTTCAGATATGCCGACATCCCCGTACAGAGCACCAGTCAGAGCCGGATATCCCTGCAGCCGTCCAAGGACAAGGTGAGATGTAAGCTGTTGTCCTGGTGACGCGTTGCCTGTGTCCGGAGCTGGTGAGTCTGTCACGCCGCTGCTCGCTGCAAGCTCCGCTACATGGAGGGATGAGCGGAGGCTGGTGTGCGGCTCGCAGCTGAAGCGGTGAGGAGCCCGTGTAGTGCGTGTGGCACCGCTGACGGAAATGAGGCGTGTCGATTACGTCGAGGTGGTGGTGCCGGTTGTGCCGACACGACTCTCGGTCGTCGATGAGATCCGCTGCTGGCGTATGGGCCGTGGCCGGCCATGGTCTTCTGACCGGCGGAGGCACGTGTCAGCTGATCATCAGCGCACACGACCGATTACGACCGCCCAGCTGCTCCGCGAGACATATTGACGCGATGGCAGTCGATGACTGGGGGCATCGTACGGCTGGTCGTCAGGCGGCGTGGCGGCCAGCGGCCGGGCAGGTGCGCCCGCCGCCCCTGGCCAGGCCGTGCGGCGGCGGTGTCTAGATGGAAATCGCTGCTCCTGGTGCGCCATTAAGAATGCGAGCACCAGCTGCGGACTGGATCGGCATTAAAAATGCGAGCACCAGCTGCGGACTGGATCGGCATTAAGAATGCGAGCACCAGCTGCGGACTGGATCGGCATTCAGAATGCGAGCACCAGCTGCGGACTGGGTCGGCATTAAGAATGCGAGCACCAGCTGCGGACTGGATCGGCATTAAGAATGCGAGCACCAGCTGCGGACTGGATCGGCATTAAGAATGCGAGCACCAGCTGCGGACTGGATCGGCATTAAGAATGCGAGCACCAGCTGCGGACTGGATCGGCATTAAGAATGCGAGCGTCGGCGGTGAGTTGCCGTCAGGGAAAAGGATTTGTTTCGTTCTTTGAGCGGGTTGTAAGCAAGAATACCCCGCATTTTTCAAACACTTTCGGAAACGCTCCAAGAACTTCCGGATTTAAAGGTTCCCATGCGTCTTTGAAGTGCACCTGAAACTGGCCTCGCTGCAGCAAGATCAAAACAGACAAGCTAAACATCGCTGTTAACTTCTCCGTTAGTGGTCTTGATATGTCGCCACACTCTGCCGTACAGGGGGGCTGCAAGTGCAGCCTGCTCGGCGAGACCAATCATTCTGGCGTGATGCACTCGGTCCGCTACACGGTCACTGTAAACATATTCGAGTATAATGACTGTAGTCCAGCCCCATCCTTGCGCCGCGCCAACAGCTGTGAACCATACGTGCTGTACTTCAAGCTGGCCAATCCCTGACCTGGTGTTGACCGAAATGCCACAACTCGAGGGCGTTAGCGTCCCCCCATACCCGCCGTGCCCATACCCACCTGTAGTCCCGCCAGCCTTTGTGCTTGCTAGCTTTAGCAGTGTCTTCGTGACCGAAGAAACCCACCATGAAAAGGCCTGGTAAAAAGCACGTTGTCGGGTTAGCATCGCCGATATGTATTACTGGTTCTTAGGCTCCTATACTTGCTTTAAAGATGCTATGTAAAACATGGTGACCCGAGAGTGACGTTCTTGCAACTGCCGATCATATAGCTGATATCCAAATGACTGGTTATCGAAGAAGCAACGCTTACGTCGAATTGGTCGATGTTCTGAAAAACTATATATATATATATATATATATATATATATATATATATATATATATATATATATATATATATGTCTGTGTGTGTGTGTGTGTGTGTGTGTGTGTGTGTGTGTGTGTGTGTGTGTGTGTGTGTGTGTGTGTGTGTGTGTGTGTGTGTGTGTGTGTGTGTGTGTGTGATTTATTGATATTATACATAAAGGAAATAGGACTGAGTACTGCAAAACTATATACACATATTTAAATGTGTATGTTTAAATACATAAGTAAAAAATACTGAGTGATGTGACCGTCTTTCCTTCTTAAGCAATTTCCCGATTCATCTAATGTCAAAATTGTCCTATATACAGTACCTCAGAAGAACACGTTTCACGTCCGCGTTCATTCCATTCAGCGGCAGCCCCGGAAATGCGGCACGGCCTACAGCTGCATGTGCCAACCGGCCAACTTTCCCGCGTCATTCGTTCTTAAGTCCAGACGGGTTAAGCCAAATGGTAAGTGAACAGGGACCAAGGGCCCGTCAAGGGTTCATTGCCTACAACCCATTAATCCCAAGCTGTCGTGCACTCAACTCCATTACGATCGCTACGAAAGCATCGTGATTAAACCGTGGCTAACTGTACAAGGAAAAGTCTGTTGTCATTTCCATCTGACGGGCTTCCTGGTGACCTGTTATGTCGTGTCCCTGAGAGCATAGCAGTTGACAATCCGCCCGCCTTCACCGTAGCGACGCTCATGGCGCCTAGATCTGTAGTGGGCGTAAAGATTGCAGTCGAACCCACCATTTTTCGCTAATCTTTTTGTTAATTTTGTTTCGTAGAAGCTCAAGCCACCCGCTTCATATCTGAGTAGGCTCAGCGCCCGAGTCCCCACATATCCATCGCCACCACCATCACCTCCTCGCCGGTCGCGGTCTTTGGTGACCCGAGCCACCCGCTTCATATCTGAGTAGGCTCAGCGCCCGAGTCCCCACATATCCATCGCCACCACCATCACCTCCTCGCCGGTCGCGGTCTGTGGCGACCCGAGACGGACGTTGTTGACGGGCTGGCGGGCCGACGGTGGGGGCCGACGGCCGGGGCCGGGGCCGGTGCGCAGTCGGCCGCCGGCGGACCGCGGCGGGCCCAGCCAGCAGAGGTCACCCGCGGCGGCTGATCGTCGGCCCTGCACCGCCGCCTCCACGTATCGATTGGTAGACGGTGCAGGCAGCAGCGAGGCGCGCGCCTGATCCGGAACTATGGGCACGGGTTACGTGGCGCCGTTGTGCCAACGGGTCCGGAGGTCACGCCCAGCGGCGTCGTTATGCCTCGTGTGGGCAGGGAGCGGCTCGTTCGCAGGACAACTCTGGGCTCGTCAGGTGAATTACCTGCGCGCTTTAATTGGCGCATGTCATCGCCCGGTGTTTCTCTATGTATACAATGGTCGCATGCAGCTGCAAACAAACATGCTTCGCGTGCCATCGACCGCAAGCCGTGCCGTTAGCGAGTCCACCTGTCTTGTGACTGGCGCGGGGCCTGGCACCCGCCGTGGTGCCCTGACCCCCGTCTATCGGCGCAGCTGCAGACCAGCTTGCGCCGGCTGAAGGCGGTGCCGTCGCGTTACCGGGACGCCGCCTCTGATGAGCTCACCATCCACGTGTACCGCAACGGCGACGCCTACTCTCCGGCCGGCACGTTCCGGCTGAACCGCATGGCGCGCTCCCACTGGGAACAGACGCTGGCCCGCGTCGGCGAGAAGCTCCAGATCGGCCGCGGCGTGCACAAGTGGGTACCGCCGAGCGAGCAGGCTCCGATGTGTTCCCGGTCCCGCTCTCGAGTAGGTCCAGGCATAGAATAGGTTTTCGCTGTGTACTAGGCTATCGCGGTAAACACAGGCTATTCGTTAACTCATGTCACTGCTAAGCATATTGATATTATCGCAAGCTCTTTCCACCCGCGTTATCAATATCTCCGTTGCGTTTCGGTTGTCATAAATGAAAGGGGAAGTTAAATGCAATCACTAGTGGCCGTGTAAATCTCCAATCCTCAAACCCTTTAAGTGACGATGTCACGTCTGTGACGTCCCGCCGCTGTTGTATGTAATCTTCACGGCCTGACCTAACGTGGCCGACCGTAAAGCCGTACAGCCAGCCGCAGACTGACCTGACCTGGCCTGACCCGCCGCCGCCAGACTGTATAACCTGCGCGGCCAGCTGGTCCGTAATCTGGCCACTGACTTGGAGCACAACGGCCAGTATGTGGCAGCCGCCGACAACGACAGTTTCCGCCTGGTTAACTACGGCGCCTCGCTGGAGCCCTTCCAGAGCGTGACGCGCGGCGACAGGTGAGGATCGCCGGCGCGGGCGGGATCGAGATCCTCCGGAGGGAGCAGGATCCTCCGGAGTGTCGGGGTGTGACGCGCGGCGTCAGGTGAGGATCGCCGGCGCGGGCGGGATCGAAATCCGCCGGAGGGAGCAGGATCCTCCGGAGTGTCGGGGTGTGACGCGCGGCGTCAGGTGAGGATCGCCGGCGCGGGCGGGATCGAGATCCGCCGGAGGGAGTAGGATCCTCCGGAGTGTCGGGGTGTGACGCGCGGCGACAGGTGAGGATCGCCGGCGCGGGCGGGATCGAGATCCACCGGAGGGAGCAGGATCCTCCGGAGTGTCGGGGTGTGACGCGCGGCGTCAGGTGAGGATCGCCGCGCGGGCGGGGTCGGGATCCTCCGGAGGGAGCAGGATCCTCCGAAGTGTCGGGGTGTGACGCGCGGCGTCAGGTGAGGATCGCTGGTGCGGGTGGGGTCGGGATCCTCCGGAGGGAGCGGGATCCTCCGGAGTGTCGGGTTGTGATGCGCGGCGTCAGGTGAGGATCGCTGGTGCGGGTGGGGTCGGGATCCTCCAGAGTGTCAGAGCGCGGTGACCAGCATGAAGTCGTGCGATAGGGCGAGTGCAAGCAGGTGCAATTCACGTCAGTCAAAATCGCCATCATTGAATCGGCCTTCACATCCGTACTCAGGCAACTCTCGAAGTGATTCGTTCCACAGGACGTTTTTCAAAGGACGGGTTTAAGTGCCATCGTCCTTATAGCAGCCCCAGTCACAAGTCAGCGATCGCTTCACGGTGCATGCGATCGATGCGGTGAAGCCAAACACCAGAAGTGTGCAGCGCGGCAGCAGCCAGCCAATGGCGCGCCAGAGGCGGGCCATTGATTGTCGCCCGCCGGGCGGACGGGGTGGCGTTTATTGAGCAAACTTGCGGTGCTGTGTGCTGGTCTGCAAATGTCGCGCCGCCTGGAACAAGAGTGGGGCGCGCCTTGTCTTTCCTTTCCCGTGTGATTCAGGCGCCCTCAACTTTGTGGTGTTGAATCTAGAGCAATCACGAGATGGACAGCTTTATGAGGAGAAAGATGACGAATCCTCTCAGTGCATGTACTGTGTTGAGGGTGGCTTCCGACTTACAGCGAGGGGTAATTCGCGTTGCAAGTGCCGAACACCACACTGCACACGCACGCCACCTCAGTCTATCGATCACTTTTTGTGCCTTGGTCTTTAGTCCTAATTCCGTTGCATGGTAGGCACCTTACGCCTCTCGATCCTTTCCTGGCCCGCCCTGACCCGCTGTGTCCCGGACCGCCCGCCGGCGCAGCCGTACGACGACGCCGCACCCACCGTGCGCGCACCAGCGCGTGGCCGAGACGGTACCGGGCCGCGGCCCAGGTGCGACCATGCCCCGCCTGCCCGGCCAAAGGAGCGCCACCGAACCGGTCGTCTCGCGCGGCCGCCGGCCGCTGGCGCGCGCGCCGCTGCCGCCGCTGCCGCCGCTGCGCATGTCGTACCCGCAGCTGATGCGCCGTTACCGCGAGCTGCGTGATAAGAGCGCCGCGCGCAGCGAGCCTGCCATCGCCAGCGACGAGGCGCGCCGACAGCGGCTGCAGAAGATCCAGGACGCGGCGCTGCGAGACGCCAGGAAGTAGGAGTAGATGTCGGCGCCCGCATGGGTGGACCTCTGCGTTTCCTGTGCGTGTGGCGGCTGTGGGTGCAGCAGAAATGTTTATTGGAGCTTTAACGCAATATTTGATGCGTAAGATCATTCAGCGTCGATATCTTTTGTGCTGATTGTCGCCAGGGCGATGGGACTCTTGGCCGAAATCCAGGCCCAAAACCTAAGACTTCCCGTGCACTGGTGTGAGGTGAATGCCCTCAGAACTAAGCCACGCCATCTCGAGGGAAGGAGATGAGCCTATAGAATGCACCATCACAAGCTTTTCACTCTGTTCCACATCAGTGGTATTTTTCAATTTTTTACATTTATTTTTTAGATGTTTACTTTAGTTTATGCATCTGGCATTGCATTGACAGACACAGGGACTTATTGCGCGCCGCACGTATTCCATAAATATTTCGTTGAATTAACAATATTATCTTAGCTGAGGCCTATGTTACCGTAGAATTTCTGTTTTCCACCTGGGATCCCTGTCTGTTCCCAGAAGCGGGCGCCGCCCGCCGCCGAGTCGTGCTCCCCAGTTACCCGCACCTCCGCTGCGCGCCGCCACCGCCTCGCCGACAGATGTCTCTACCAGCACCTCGGGCCTTCAGGAGACCAACAGCGTGTTCAGCTCCAGCACGGACTTGGAAGACGGCTCAGTCCGCAACGTTTTCTTCCCCGATGAGAGCGAGGAGGAGCAGGAGGGCCCGACCCGCCTGTCGCCGTTTTACTTGCACCCGCTGGAGGAGGCCGGGGAGGGCAGCACCGTCGCGGACAAGACGACACAGGTGCCGTCACCAGCCATGGCCGGAAGCCTGGAGCGCTTCCTGGACACAGTGCCGACGGTGCAGGACGCCGACCTGGCGACAAGCCCGTTCGAGCCGTGGGCCGTCGCGGAGAGCCCCGGCCAGGCGAAGTATGTGGTGACGGAGCCGGTGGCGCTCCTCACGCCCCGTCTGGGCGGCTCGTACAGCGCGCCGCAGCTGAGCGAGCCAGGCACTCCGCGGCCGTCGGCGCTCGGCAGCACAGCCGGCTCGGAATCCTACGTCGGATACTCACCGCTGCAGGAGCGGCACGGCGGCGGCTGCACGCCGGCCACGCCGCCGCCGCCCGTCGTCGCCAGCGACGACCGCTGGCCGCCGTGCGTGCTGGCGGCCGGCGGCGGCTCGCGTCCAGCGAGCCGCACCGCCAGCGCGCTGCGCTTCGCCTCGCGTGCTAGCCTGGAAACGCCTGATCTGTGCCCACTGGTGTTGTACCTGGACGGGTGGGGGCCGCGCATAGTCGGCTTCAGGTCGCGCTCGGCCGTCAGCCGCGCCTCCAGCGTGACCGAGGTGGCGTCCTGCCGCACTATGAGCACACCCTGACATCCGTGAGCCCGATCGGAAGACCCGGGCGTTCCGGGCACTGCTATGTGCTCCGGTCTCGCGCGGAGAGACGCCCGACGTGATCGAGGAGGTCGATGACGATGACGTCACGCCGACGGAGGATCGTGCGACCTCTACGAGCCCACCGCCGCAGGTGACCACGCCTAAACGGGCGGTCTCAGCGGAGGAGGCGGTCGCGCCGGCGGAGCCCGAGCCACTGCCGCCGCCGATGCCGCCGCTGCCGCCGCCCCGACCGTCCCTGTCGGGGCGGGCCGGTGGCGGACGGCGCGGCGGCTGGGATTGGGACGAGACACCCATCCGGCCGGAGGACCGGGCCGCTCTGCAGAAAACTGATGCGCTGTCCAAACCAACGGAGCCACAGGACCCGCAGCAGCCGCAGGAGCCACCTCAACTGCACAAGCAGCCGCAGCCTTGGGAGTGGCCGGTGCCAGCTCAGGAGCCGCAGGACCCAACGCAGATGGTTCAGCAAGCCCCGCTGCAGAAGCCGGCGGATTCCCCCGCGCGGGAGCCAGCGAAGCAGTCTACCGAGCCGCGGCGCAGCTGCGCCTACCGCCAGCAGCACCCGGCGCCGCCCACCGACCTCACGGACCGGCTCGTGTGGCCGCCGACGCGCACCAACAGCCCGGAGCTGGTCCCCGCTGCACCAGACGAGCATCCCGAGCAGCCGCAGCCGCAGTCGCAGCCGCAGCCACAACTGCAGCTGCAGCCGGCTGCCATCGACCAGAAGCTGGACGATATCGCGACGCTGCTGCGGACGTTGCTGCTGCAGAACCTGCTGGCCGGCCAGGGCTCGACGGCGGCGGGTCTGACGGAGGATCAGCTGCGCGCGCTGCTGCGACCGCCCGCCGGCGGTGACCACAGCGGCACCGGGGACAGCACCGGCCAGCATCCGGCGCCCAGCGGACCTTGAGGACGCTCGGTTGGCGAGGCGTTGCCGGCACGGAGGAACACAACTCAGTCCACGCCGACTGTTACTCAGGCACGCACCTGCGGCTCTGGTTATCCAGACTAGCTTGTTGGAATCTATCTCCTGTATTTCTCGCGTGTGCGCTGTTTTGTGTGGCTCTCATGGCCGAGTTTGGACCTCTGCTGTGTTCAGACCGTTCTGTGGGACGGGAAAGGGGCGTGAGGCGCGTGTGAAGCCCCTGACGATCGTCCCGTATCGGCAGGAGTCGCTCAGAGGCGAGTCTGCCGTCCGTCCGGGGCGCGACTCGAGGTGGCAGGCGGGCAGCGGCCGACCGGGGACGGCGGCCGCGCGGTGTCTCCCTGCCGCCGGCCGAACCGCCGCAACTCTCGCGAGGCCCCGCCCGTCGGCAGTCGGCGGCGGGCGCTCAGGAGGAGAGGCCCGGCAGCGAGGACGGGCTGGCGGAGCGCGGTCGGCAGGGGCGAGACGAGGAGCGTCTGGAGGATGGGGTCGGCGACGCCGGCGGCGGTCACAGCGGCAGCGGCGGCAGCGGCGGCAGGACAGGCCGTGACTCGGCCTACGGCTCGGACGGCGCCTCGCCCGAGGAGAGCTGCCAGTTTCAGCTGCGCGAGTCCGAGTACCTCAAGGCCACCAAGGTGGGTCTGCGCGCGTCCGCATGGTGCGTCAGGTGAGTCTACTGGTGATCTCGTTCAAAATGCAGGTCCCTATTAGATGCGGCCATGCAAGACATATTTGAAGCCAAAGAAAAGAACAGCGTTTTGACACAGAAGAGATCCAAATGCGTTGTTTCATTGTCAATGAAAGTATAACAGAGCTTCAAGCGAAGCCTCTGGCAAAGCTGTGTAATTTTCTCGCCGTCACGTTATGCTGTCGTTGTCGGGCAGACGCCGCTGCCGGTGGTAGAGGTTGATCTGGACAGAGACTCTGGCGGCGTCTACCGACACCGCTCGACCGAGCCGGCGCCGCCCGAGCTGCCCGACGCTCCTGATATGCGCGCTGAGTTGCCGATCGACCTTCGGCCCGCCCAGGAGGTCACCGTGAGTCACCGCGCCGACCGGGGGTCAGCTGGTCACGGGACAGCTGGTCAGCAGACCGCGCGGGACACGGAGTGGACAGGCCACCACCTGCACATGCTGATGCGTTCACGTGGGCAAGTGGCCCTCCGGGACCTTTCAGGCGTAAAGGCGTGTCAGGCTGCAGATTTTGTATATCGCCGCCTCCCGAGGTCAAACGGAACTATGCGTTTTGCGCGGACATGGACGTAAGTTTCATCTCTGATATATATATATATATATATATATATATATATACATATATATTTATAGCATGCATCCTCGTTTTAACATCAATCTGAATTGAACTGAATGAATATAAAGCACACATGAAGTTTCCTTCTGAATTGAAACTTCACTGCGCAACAGCTTAAGCCGATCATTTCTATTGTCACTCACTATTGTCAGTCAGTCAGTATTGTCAGTCACTACTGAAACGCTATCAGATGCGGGCCTAAAAGAGTAAAACGCACTGGATAAACAACTTGATTTACTTGTACCATGACACCAGAAGTGATTTAATCTTCCTGTAAACCGCCTTTGATTGTGTGTGTTTCAGGAGGAGCTTATACAAATCTAGTGATGACAGCAGTGATGACGACCCGCACACCAAGAACCATTGTCAAAGAAGCGTGGACTCGGAATTGTGTACAAATCTGTCAAATGTTCTGTCGTAAGATTTGGGTCACTTGCTTCGATGCAAGACCATGTTTGTTGCCGTCCTAAACATGCCGTGTATCTATAATACACTGACGTCATGATTAGGCGTTTTAGTTTTGGGCTGGTTATGTTTGCCACAAAAATCAGTGCAATGAGGGTATGTTCCGCAATGATGTTTTGTCGCAGTGGCCAGCATAGAGTGACAGACCCGGTCGCACACAGCAGAAGGCCCTGGTGCCTCACCCTCCTCCAGGGCCGGTATCGGAAGACCCGGTATCGGAAGACTCTCCTCCGGCAGCAGCAAACCCAGGCGCGACACACTACTCCTCCAGCAGCGGCGCCCCACTCTTCCCTCCAGCAGCGGCAGACCCTGGCGCCGTAATCCAGAAGCGTCAGAGCCGGGCGTTGCATCTCCAGAAAGAGCATACTCGGGTCCACACTCTTCCCGCCAGCAGCTTCAGTTTCGCTGCCGCACCAGCCAAACCTGAATGCTTTTTATCATGGTGTTAATGGCAATAGCTTTTCAGAAGTCGCGGCTAAATTCCGTGGTCATCACGTGCCATCCCAGCTGAACTGGCCAACCCATCACGTACAATTACAATACAAGGTATTCACTTATACAATCCCATAGATAAGACAGTAGTCATAGCCTTATTCCGTGGAGGAAACCAAGAGAGTGAAGATGTAGATGGGTTGATATTTCGGCAAGATGCTTTTATAGAAAAAATGGCAGAAGTTAATTCAAAATTACCTGATGATGACTTCGGTGTCCATTTTTTGGCAAAACACGCTTAGGCCGGAATCGAGAGGCATGGATCATATGCCCCTTTCGAGGCTCAAAGTCATCTTTAAAGCACAGGACCACCCAGACAGGAAAAAAGTCAATCTATTCTAATGAAAAGTCGGCGACCAAATCTTAGCGTACAAGGCTCATCATGGTCGACCAGGCGAACGTGATATGTGCATTGATGTGTGATGTGTGCTAGCTTAAAATCGTTTACATGTGTAACTGATGCCTGATGCGTGTTGTATGATGCCTGTTCAATTGAATTGATGCGTGATGTGTGATGCCTGTTTACTTAACTTGCTTGCATGTTTGAATTAAGGTTGATGCGTGATGCCTGTTTGCTTGAACTCGTCTGCATGTATACGTATTTTCGCGTATTTTAATCATGAGATAGGCACTGTGTCGTGGTAATGGCTGGCAACCGTTTTTCGTTTAATCCCCTGAATGTTGGTGTCCTGCGAAAACTGCATAAAACAAATACCATCAAAATGTTTGAGCATGCGCGCCAGGTGCCGATAGTCCCACGGTGAACGCGCCTGCGTTAACCACTGCGCGTCTCGGGAACCACAGCTACAGAGTTCGATTCCCCACGGTGCCTGTCCTTCCTGCCAGGGTGAGTGGCTGGCGACGCCATGTAGCTCAAGCAGCTGAGTGCGGCATAAAGCCCCAATGACGCCCGTAATCTCGGGGAGCAAGGACAGCGATGGCATGGGTCGCAGCTTTCGTAAAACCGGACGGCGTTGGCCACTGCGAGGAACGCCAAGGGGTGGGCGCCGAGCGCGCAACAAGGACCATAGTAAAAAAACTCTTCCGAATGTCTTCTAAAATTAATTCATGCAGTTCAAAGGTTAAACTGGGCGAATCTTGTTTTCACTTTGAGGTTGCCCTGTGGACAGATTAAGAGTTACAGCAACACGACGAACAGATATTTACCTTAACTCTTTCAGTTCCACAACCAGTTTCCAGCACCACTTCGCGGTGCTGTGAAGAACAATAGGTTACTGTCATCCATCTAAAACTCCGCACAGGTGAAATACACCCGAGGAATGTCTCGTAGTATATGATTTGGTGTTCCAAAACGTTCAAATGTACTTCTTTCAGATGCGTCACCATTCTTGACCACCTGTTGGCCCCTGCCTGTAGTGCAAGCCGCTGTCGGTTTGTAAGATATGCAAGCTCGCATGCTCAAAACTACGTTACAAAATCTGTACCACCTGTCAATTCTGACTGGATGTTGAAGATGTCCAGACGAACATAGCCTGGTCATATTAATTCAAATTGTTGACCCTTTTTTATCTTCAAGCTATATTTGCCAAAGCCTTGCAATTCTTCCGCAATCCAGATAAAAATTCTGACGAAGCTTCTGAGCTCCATCGGTTTAAAGAGTCCACTGGATGATTGTAAAATGAGGAGCGCCGGTGATTTGTTTCATGCAGTCATCAACGCATAATTTTGTCAGTTTATTTGCAAAAAAACTCGTAGCAGAATCGACCTCGCGGTAGCGTCTGGCCAATATCTTAGTTATAGAAGGTAAAAACGTGGAGATATTATATCTGCACAATATCTAAAAAAAGCATGTCATCAATAACAAAAGGGTCATATCAGGCAATTTTTTGGGAGGAGGAGGTCTTTTGCTATCAGGGGGCCCTTTCACAACCGTCTGCCCCTCCCCCCTCCCCTTGCCAAGACTCTCGCTGCGCCCCTGGGCGGGATGTGACCAATTCGGATCGAACCGGACGAGATCCTAAGGGACCGGATGAGACGGGACCGGACCGGACCGAACCGGATGGGACTGGAACTGGACCAGACCGAATCGGACGAAACTGAAACTAGACCGGACCGGACAGGACTGGACCGCACCCGACGGGACTGGAACTGCACCGGACTGGACAGGACCGGACCGTACTGGACGGAACCGGACCGAACCGGGTGGGACCGGACCGAACCGGACGATACCAGACGGGACCACGTGTGACCGGACGCGATCAGAGAGCAGCGGACGTGGTCGAAACGAATGGGACGGGACCTGACGGCACCAGACAACATTGGACGAAACCGGACGGAACAGGACGAGATCAGACGGACCTGGACGAAACATGATGCTTCTGGACGGGGCAGAACGAAACCAGACGTAATCAAATGAAACCGGACGGAATAGAATGAGATCAGACGGGACTGGACGAAACATGATGCTATTGGGGGGCAGGACGGGCCAGGAAGAAACCAGACGTAATTGGGTGAAACCGGGCGGAACAGGACGAGATCAGACAGACCTGGACGAAACATGATGCTATTGGGGGGCAGGACGGAACTCGACAAAATCGAGTGAAACCGGGCGGAACAGGACGAGGTCAGGCGGGACTGGGCGTGACATGCTGTTTGACGGGCCAGGATAGGACCAAACAAAGTTCAATATGGATTTCGGGGAAAGCTGCCACCCAAGGGCCAAAATAATGCGACGCCAAATAATTATACTGTTTCACAACATCACCTGGCACTTGCCGGTTGCGTGGCGGCGTTGTGCCTTCGGCATCCCGGCGTTTTACGTTGGGGAGAAGGAGAGAAGTTGGGTGTGCAGGACAGCGGACGGCGTTTGTCGTGCGACTTTGTCGGCAGTGAATCTGCGCGCACGTTGTGAGACCATGAAACACCCACATTGTGTGGGTTCGTTTCAGACACAAAACTTTGTCTGTGGATATCAACGATGAGGTGCTTCTGGTTATTCAGCCAGGGGTGTAGTTTTGTGAGATGGGTTGGGGGGGGGGGGAGTGGGGTTGCAGAAGGGGAAAATTGAGCTTATTCATACGATACGATGATAAGCGTCATTAACACGTATATTTATATCTTAAATAATTATTTCAAAGCGCCAACAAATTGATTTCAACCCGTCTTCGACCCATCATCTTGCCACAGTTGGCGGGGGGGGGGGGGTGTACGCTACGGTCACCCCTCCCCCAACTAAGAAGGGAACACTAAGCCCCTGTGTTCAGCATTACATGAGTTCAAATGTCCTATGCATACCGAGTTATCGACCTTCAGTATGCAAAGAGGTAGATATATAGAGGAAACATTCATTTTATTTTCAATATTCAGAGTTTCAAGGTGTGCTTGTGACAGCGAGCGAGTCGTGATAACTTCTTAGTAGTGTCCCGTGAATTTCCTGCTGGTTTTTGTTTCTTTTGGACTTTTCGTCTTTTGCGTTTTGTATGTTGATTTATTCCTGTCGGTTTTTCATCGTTTCGTTTTGTTCGGTTCGGAATTTTTGCAGTTCCTCTTTTTCGACTTAACCGTTGTCAATTTTGTGTCCTAGACTTTTTATTTGAATCCGTGGTCCTCCGTGGTCTTTCTGCCCTTCGACTTTTATCCGTTTCCTTTGTCCCCTTTTTCCTTCTTGTCCTCCGCCTTTTGCAGATTCGATTCTTGTCCCTGTCGACAGTTATTCTTGTCCACGTTTTGCCTTTAAGTTTTTTTTTCATCCGACTTTCTGTACTGCTGTCCTGGATTGTTGACATCATGTGACTCTCAGTGACTGAATTCCAGTGACGTCACCGTAGGATTGTTGCCACCAAAAGGAGCTTGCCTATTGTCCACAACACTGGTCACAACCCCTGGTTCGCCCGGCTTTTCTCCATCCCGCGGGCCACCCCGGGTAGCCTTTGCGCGTACTCTGGGATTGAATTGTTGCAGCCGGGCGTTAACGAAGCTAGATCTTGATCATTGTGTTAAGCAGGCACTGAAAGAAGGATATACCCCCTCCGTGTTAGAGCTCTATGCTTATTGATAGTTCGGGCATTCTACCGGATTATCTGACGTGGGTAAACGTTTTATAGTTTGCGGCGCGTTTCCTTTGCTGGTAAGTCAGTATCGTGGAAACAAAATTAACCCTACCTTAATGTGTTTCATAGTATTGGATGGAAAGGTGGGATCTAAGGTAGTGATTGGTGATGATGGAGACAGTGTGATGAAATATTGATAATTCATTCATGGTTATTACTGAATACGTGGAGCAACAGGTTACTTTGTTTTCAGTGATGCTGGTATTGGATGTAATGTGCAGATAATTGTCAGCCATATGTATATCCTAGGAAGATGTTAATCACCTGATAGGTTAGTTGAACTATCAACCAAAACAAACAGTGGTATTTTGGGTCAATATTTTGCACCCATTTTCATCCACTTGTGGAAAGTTATGCTTTGGATGTTAATCATGTGCATTCTGTCCTTAATTGAGAATACCTCAGTTGGTCTGCTGTGAGCCAGACTGCAAAAAATGCATGTTACTGCAAATATGTCTGGTTAGCAGTGACATGGTGATAACTATCTGAATTTCAGTGCAGCTATGCCAGGGATTTGGTCATTGCTTAGAATTTGGCATCCAGGCACATCCATTGATTTTAGGGATGAGAAAGACTATCTTGCAAGAAATTATGATCTTCTACAGGTATATTTTGGCAGAAGTACAATGAAAACAATTTTTATTGGATTTTTTTTAAAATTGAGTGCTCTAGATTAGCCTGCCCTTGCCACAGACACCACAAGGCTCAAGGGAAGGCTGGGCTATATGATAATGTGCTAGTTTACTTGGTTTGATGTTTTATGTAATGTCTGCTTGCTCTGACTTCAAATGACCTTTCATGACAAGATGTTCTGTCATGTCACACATTTATTACTAAACCATGGAAAAGTTGTTGACACAGGTTTCTAGTAGAAAGTTATTATATGTTGGATATCAAGGGCATAGCAGTCTGCAAACTATGTTAGGGTTTGCTTACATGTGGTTGCAGATGATGCAGCTCCACTGTTTTGCTGGTCATCTGTGCTGTCTCAAGTATAAGGTGTTTGGACTACCTTGAGAGCATTGTCAGCAAGACAAAGACAAAGACGTCAGAGTGGGGACGGGGTGGGACTTCTTCAGACTTTGAGGCAAAGCTGCCTTTTTTATTCATGTTGTAAGATTATGCATCCCCACCATGCCAGTGCCAAATTTTCTCAACATTGGGGTGGTTATTGTTGGCTTTTGACAGTGCTGATTTTGCTGCTCAATGCTTACCTGTCCTTTGAACCCTTGTGGATCTCAATACCATAGGTTTAAAGCATTTTAAGTACATCACACCCCAAAGCAATGAAGATGGGCATACCATTACATATAACTGGTGCATGTAATGAATAATTTATGTGTGGAAGCTGTTATGTGTGTGATGCCCTGCAGGACAGCCTCATGGATCTTGAAGAGGGGGAATTGGCTGAGTCAGATGAAGAGCTACCCAAGATAGTCTCAGACAACTTGGAGGTTTGTGCTTTGTTATATATATTTGTAATCTTGCATCTAGAAATAGGTATGAAACCTGTCCCACCATGTTGTATCATGCTGTAAATTGTTTGAAATTTCTGACAAAAGCAGGTCCCATGTCAGAAAGTTCTAAAAAGTGAGCTGGCTGAACCCTGTTAAAATAAGTACAGACATCTCCTCAAAGCTCCAAGTTGAAATTTCCACTTACCTTGGGGCCCCTGCAATGCTTCCTGTATATAAGTAGACACAAGTAGACTAATTTCATTCTGGAATAATGCTTACCTTTCTGCCAGAAAAGCTGCTGTCAATTGCTGGTTTTGTGAAAATTGAACAAAGGCATCACTCAGAGTATGTCATGAGCATTCTGCCCAGGTGTATACGCGACTTGAGCGACCAGTGGCGCCTCGGCCGCCCGTCCAGCCGCCTGCCTTCGCTAGCGACGAGGACGAGTCGCCGGCGGGTGGCGCCTCCAGCGGCAGCGGCAGCGACAGCGACGGCGACAGCGACGGCGGCGGTGGCGGCGGGCGGAAGCGGCCGCGTCCGAGCGCCGCGCCGCCGCCCGCCGTCCGGCCGCCTGACCATAACGCGGCGTTTGCGGAGGCGGCGCGGCGCCTGCAGGCGCGGCGCGCGCGCCTCTCGGTCTGGACGTCGGTGCTGGCCGAGGACGGCATCACGGCCGACCTGGCCGGCGGTCTGGGCCAGCTGGCGGCCGGCCCGCGCATTGAGCGTGATGTCGAGTCGTACCAGCTGCCGGAGCCGCGGCCGGCCGCCGACGCCGCCGCCGACGCCGAGAACCCGCGCAAACGTGGCTTTCGGCAGGCGCGTCAGGGCTGGCGCCGCGGCCGCGCCGACGCCGTCCGCCTCGAGCCGCTCGAGGTCACCGAGCAGAGTCCGGCCGAACAGGTGGCCGCCGACATCGCGCTTAAGCTGCTAGAGGACAAACCCCAGATCATCGGTCAGTGGATGGCGTTTCTGTTATGTTTAAGGTTGTGAATATCTCATGACCCATATGACATGTCTTGTTAGTCGTTGATTCATTCAAGTTCAGTTTGCTCTGCGATGACCCGTCTTTTACGTCATCGACAAATTTCGTTCCTTGGTGTACCTGATTATGGTTGGGGGCCGTTACACTAAAATATAACCAGTCGAACTAGCCCTGCGCTATTCACCTTTCTAAAGGAGAGTATTTATTACCTGTCATTGAATGGGTTTCGAGTACACTGTTGCATTTGTATGTGTTCATCACGTTTCAGACAATGTCGTACGGGTCATCGGCGTCAAAAGGTCCATCGATTTGTTTGAAGAAACCAAATCTGTAGAGGAAGGTGGCGGAATGCTAGTCAATGTGAGTACTGGGCGATGAGCAGCGCCGAGGGGTAAGAAGCGCGCGCACCTCGCGAGGTGCGCCTACCTCCTTCAGCGTCTTACACACTTATCGCGTTGCGGTGCGCCGTCATGACCTTGACCCTCGGCCATCTGGGGGAATCTAGGGCCGGAGTTATGTGATAATGCTTTTTGACCTGGTGATTACTCTTGCAGCAAAGTTTTTTTTTTATTTTGTGTGTTTGACTCTTGTTTGCTCCATCTCACACGCACAGGCGGTATGTGATGTGACGGAATACTTACGCCTGGATGATGAATTCCACCACAACCGTCCTGACCCGCAGAACTGGTCGCGGCGCCGCACGCCCGGTGGCGTCTTCATCCAGCTGTTGAAGACGGACCCGGAGGTGACCGAGGACCAGGTGCGCGACGTGTTCCGGGACGAGCGGCGCCAGCAGGAGCGCGAGCGCAAGGTGCTGCGCCGACGGCGGCGGCGCGACAAGCTGGCTCGACTGGCCGCCGCCGCCGGCTCCGACTCCGATGACGCGTCGGCGGGCACCGGCGGCTCGGCGGACGCGTCGGACGCCAACTCGGAGGCGGCGCCGGTGGCCGGCGACGGCGCCCACCAACCGGACTCGGGGGTTCACCGGGCCGACGCGGGGGACGCCATGGGTCGCGACGAGCCGGAGGTGGCCGCCGAAGCCGAACACGCGATGGCACAGGACGAGCTGGAGGTGGTCGCCGGTGCCGAGCACGCGATGGCCCACGACGAGCTGGAGGTGGCCGACGAGATCATTTTCGAATGACGCGTGTGGTTCGGCTCTCCTGTGTGCGCGTGGGGGGGGGGGGGGGGCGGCCTCTCGCCGGGTCCGAACGTGAAGGAACGGTGGGATGATGTCACATGCCGATGTTCTCACAGACCGCGACTCGCTGTCGACGGCAGTTTCGTGTGGCGGCTCCGTCCAGGCACCGGTGTTGTGGCCAGTAATCGTCCTGACTCCTGCAAATATCGCGCGCACTATTTGAGGAAGAGCAAATTTAAGTAATTTAAGTGATTGAGCGGTGTTCTCATCCGACGTGTTAATTGTATCAACGTCTGGTCATATTTGCTGTCATAAAATGAACTCAACTCTCGGTCATGATGATAACCGGTCAGTTGCTGATGCGTGATTGGCAGCGGGCGACCCGCACTTGTGTAGCAGGTATGCGGAAGTTTGCCCGGACATGACGTTTTGAACAGAAGTGGTATTTGCGGGAAAAACAGCGTCTTGTGTGCCATCAGCGTGGGAAAATTATGAGATCGAAAGATGCGTCAGCGTCATGGATTCTGTGCCTCATCTGCAACGCGTCAACTTTTACATCTTGTTCATCATCCCAGGATGTGCTCAGTCATGGCGATGATCATGCAGTGTGAGACTGATCGCTCTGTATGGCTGTATTCCTCGTGCACCTTACGTGCGCAAAAATGCAAGCCTCGCGAAACAATCCAGCAGCCGTTCGAAACTGTGCTTGCATGTCGATAACCACTGGCCGGAGCGGTAAGAAAGTGGCATGTTTCGGCAAAGAGTTGAAATGGGTATCATACGGCGCTAGCTCTGCGATTGCGCACACGGCGTCGTACGTGCACAGCGGCGGTCAAAAGTTAATAGTCTAGTTTTGACGGGTTTTCTACGGTGGATAGACCGTTTTGCCGATTTATCACGTGTGGAACTGTGTGGCCGTCTTAGCGAAAGATTAATAGGCGAAATTCTTAACTTTTTTAAAAATGGCAGGTCTTGTTTCTTAACGGCACAGCTTTTTTCAGCGATATTTGGTTTGAAAAAGTGCAACAATTTGAGAAAAAAAAACAAGATGTACGTGTTCGTCGAACGGCGATTTGCTCATAAGCAAAAGCATGCTTGCACATACGAGCAATTATGGTCCCAGATCTCTCCAGAGTTTATTCTAAGAGCAAATCACTGTGACGGGAGTTTTGGCCCGTGGAATTCCTTGTAACTTGACAACAAAAAAGACTAGGCGTGTTTCGCCGCCCTTGCTATCATGCCGACAGTTGCGCGCAGCTTGCGCTCTGCGGGCTGTTGAGTCCGTGCCCATCAGACCCGAGTTCAGGCCCCGGACTGCAGAATAAGGTCGGCTACAATATAGGGGTGAACATGTTTTCTGTGCTGACTTATGTTCGCTCGAGGTTGTCATGTAATAACTATACGAAGATTCCCGTTTGTCTGTATGCCTGTCCGCCTGTTTGTCGGCGTCCTTGCTGGGTCGTGTGCGGCTTAAAAGAGGACAGTGAGGGCCTGAACTTTTCACATCATGCGTCCACGGGCGTGAGGCGTGCAAATGCGTGCTGGTTACTCGCAGCGGGGATTAACCCGCTCCTTGCGTTGGTGGGAAGGTCCGTTTTTAACCGTGGGAAGGGCCGGTTTATAGAGTTACCTTTAATCTAATGTATGTGTGGATGATACAGATTGAGCGGTAATCAAACCGTCGAAAAGATCCTTTATTTGTCACGTCAACAAGGACGAATCTTGGGATCTCCATTTGCTATAGGGCGTCGATTTACACAAAAAGCACCAGTGCATGAATTGCAGGATCGCAGATCGAGGATGATCGTGGGGGTTATAGGCATAAATGACATTTAGCGAAGCTGACGCTATGGGGGATGTGGCAGCGGTGAGCAGGAGTGTAGTTACACAAGATGAATTGGGGGGGGGGGGGCCCGAACAATGAAAAAATGACCCGACCCGCCCTCAAAATGAGCCAACAAATAGGTTTATCCCCGGACTTTGCCCACTTCCTTCCGAGTGTGTGTGGGGGGGGGCGAAGCCCGAGTTTGTGGGAGAGTGAAGCCGCCCTCTTGCAGCTGAAAAGGAAACTACACCCCTGTCAGTGAGCATCCGACAAACTGACGCCCTGTGGGTCGCATGGAGACTGTGTAGTATCGAAGCATTGTAGCAGTGGTAAAATAGAAATACGAGGGAGGCAGAGACAGCATTGCGGCGTTGGTGAGGTGGTAGATATGCGAGGGAGGTAGAGACAACAATGTGGCGGTAGTAACATAGTAGAAATATGAGGGAGGTAGAGACAACATTATGGCGGTGGTAAGATAGTAGAAATACGAGGAAGGTAAAGACAGCATTGTGGTGGTGGTAAGACAGCCGAAATACCAGGAAGGTAGACAACATTGTGGCGATTGTAAGATAGTGGAAACACGAGGGAGGTAGAGACAACATTGTGGCGGTGGTATGATCGTGGAAATACGAGGGAGGCAGAGACAACACTGTGGCAGAGGTAAGATAGTGGAAATCCGAGGGAGGTAGAGGCAACATTGTGGCGGTGGTAAGACAGTAGAAATATGAGGGAGGTAGAGACCATGGGCGCAAGAACAAGGGGACAGGGGGGTGATGCCCCCCACTTTTCAAGGCGGGGGGCCAGCAGTGTTAACTGCCCCTCCCCCCCCCCCCACACACACACTTTTCAGGTCAAGGGTGTTTGCACTGAAAGGTTTTTACACCCAGTAGTCACACTCCACCACCGTATTCGTGGACTCAAAGCTCCTCAGAGGTGTCACATTCCGAAAAGGGGTCGCTGTGTTACCGTGCAGTCATGCAGGAGTCGGTTTTCTGCGTCGCCGCCGACGCGGGAGTCACTTTCGGATGTACGAATGTTACGACGACCACCATGTGGGGTGTCGCATAGTTGACGCCCTGTGCGAGTGTCGCGGACCTCCAAGCTATCAATTACAGACTCCCATAAGCTTTCCTCTGATCCCCCAACACCCGGAAACTTTCGAAAAGCGGGAAGCTGACTACCCGACATTGATAAAAGCGCTTTTATATGGGGCTTGGCACCCTCACCAGGAGTTGCCTGGCATATACCTCAGACATATTTGTCGCCACACTTCTCTCGTTGCCACTCGTGCTTCAGTGAGCAGCTCAGGGAGCTCAAGACATCACTGGGTAAGAGCATCTACCTGTTCATTCTTGGCTGTGCTACGGAAAGCTTTTGGGACGATGAATATTCAGAATGCGCAGCCATGCGCTTAAGCAAAGCAATCTGGAATGGCTTCTTGTCTGGACGCAATTGCGCACCATTTGCAGCTTTTCTGTGCGAACTGGTGTGCAGATTTTTGCATGTTGGCCCACCCCACCAAGGCATTGCTAATGATTTATTCCAAGATGCCA